ACAGTAAAATGTTTCAGTGATGACATAAGTATGGATTTCGGATTATATAAATGTGCAAAGAAAGCCATTCAAGAAATGAAAAATTACAGAAACGCACTCAACAGATTTAGATTTTGTCACAAAGATTAGGGAACTGGAAAAAGACGAGGTACCTATGAATTAGCGAAGGAATACATTATACCCAAAGGAAGAAGGTAAGAAAAAAGTACTACATGCGTTTACGTCTGGTAGCGGATACCGTGCTGAATTAAGAAAAAAAAATACAGAATATCAGCCATAAACACCTCGGCTGTCCTTCTGGTGCAATACAGTTTCAACATACTTAACTGGATCATAGCTGAGATTAAGCGAATGCACACCAAAACGAGAAAGCTTCTCACTTACCACTGCATGCATCATCCCAAGGCTGATGTTGATCGTCTTCATGCAGCCAGAGCCGAAAGAGGCAGACGATTAGTTCCATTAGAACTGTCTTACAAAACTATAACAATAATCATCTGTGTCAAAGAATGTGAAGGAAGTTAAAAAAGAAAACTTTCTTCAATAATAAAGGAAGTCAACAAGTTCAAAATGGAGTTTCAAATGAGTGAAGAAATGCAAGTAAAGCACAATGCATTAATTTCAGCTCCAAAATACTTAAAAACGAAAAGAAAGGCAAATATAGCCGTCCAAATACAGAAAAGATGGCAAGAAAAACATGGTGAATATTCTGCCCGTACCAAACAAGCTGATGTAGACAAACCCCGTAGTGTCTATGTAGTGCAGGATTAAAAGCTGAAAGTGAATGTTCTATTCTTGCAGAACAGAACTAATGCTTGCTAACTAGAAATTACCAAGCACATATACTGAAAGACTATGTTAGCCAAAATACAGATTTTGTGATAAATATCCAGAAACAATTTGCACGGCATTGGCACCCAGTGAATATAAAACCCAGCATGACAAAGTGGGCCAATATCTGCATTAGAAAATATGTAACATTTACGGAAATAAAACTGCAAGAAATTGGTATGAACATCACCCAGTCCCCGTTATGGAGATAGGACCTGTAACAATTTTATAGGACTTTACAATACACACAGAGAGAACAATCAAAGCTAATCGCCCTGACATCGTGATCAGGGACCACAAAAACCGGATTGATATGGCCGTCCTTGCTGGCTGTAATGTGTCTTTGAAGTTCTTCTAAAATTATCAAAATACAGGGACATTAAAATCGAAATATCAAAATGTAACATCAAAAATTCCAGTTATAGGTGGTGGCTTCGGATTGACTGAAAAAAATTCCAATAGACTTAGTACCCCATCTCTTAAAGAAATACAACAAATTCTTCGCAGGAAGTGCATCGCAGACCTCATAAAGGGCTGTATCTATATAAAGTATGTGTGATTTTTTTTCTCCAAAATGCTCAGTGGGAAATGTATTGCCATTTCTGACCTGAGGTCTCTGGTCGGGACACAGAGAGAAAAATGTATACACGAGAAAACAATGGAAATAAAACAATAATAATAATAATAATAATAATAATACAGTGTAACCCGGATATAAGAGACCCGGATATAAGAGAAACCCGGATATAAGAGAGATTTTCACTGGTCCCCAAATTAGAGCCCATACTTACCTAAACAAAATAGACCAAACGCGGATATAAGAGAAACCTGGATATAAGAGACTTCTTTTCCGGTTCCGAGAACTCTCTTATATCCGGGTTACACTGAAATTAAAGACCACAAATAAAAACGGTGCCTCCTTATTGATATGGCAGTCCCTGCTGACTGCAATGTATCTTTGAAGATATTCAAAAAGTTGTCAAAATACAAGGACCTTTAAATAGAAATCTCGAAAATGTGGCATATGGAACATCAACAATCCCTGTTGTAGTTGGATCCCTAGGACTGGTTGAAAAAGATTGCAGTGAATAAGTGAAGGGATTTCTGGAAGTCCATGCCTCAGGAGATACAAAAAATTGTTCTGACAAATACATACACTTTACGAAAGGCTTTATCTATGTAATTTTTTTTTTTTTTGTCAGTGGAAATTGTAATGCTGCCATTTCTAAACTGAGGTCCCTGGGCCGGGACCCGGAAAGAAATGTAAACGCCAGAAATCAAAGAAAAAAAAAATAATAATAATAATAATATTAATATTCAGTCAAACATCTGCTACCATACCCATCATATTTACACGGCAAACATTTCCCGATAGACACGATTTCCATCAATAATAAAAACAAACATGACAATCAAATATATTCCGAAATTAATAAAACAAATTTAATCGACAGTTAAGACAAGCACTGATTCTATTAGCAGTCCCCCCACCCCACCCACACACACAACTATAAATTTGACACCTAAGCTTCGTTCAGACTTCGTTCCTACAACTGTTATCAGTAATTAAACTCACACTCAACAATATGAGTAGGACACAAAAAACTACCACACAAACTCTCTCTCTCTCTGACACACACACACGCGCGCGCGCGCGCACACACACACACACAAATATATATGTATATAGAGATACACTCATTCACACACACACATATATAGACACACAAACACACGAACATATATATAGACACACACAAATTCACACACACACATATACAGACACACACATTCACACACACACATATATAGACACACACATTCACACACATACATATATAGACACACACACATTCACACACACATATGAAAACACACACATTCACTCACACACACATATATATATATAGACACACACATATTCACACACATATGTATATACACACACAAACACACACACAAACACACACACTTATATATATATATATATATATATATATATATATATATATATAACGATAATAAACTGTGTAAACCTTGAAACTTAACGTCCAGGTACACAGTAACATATAGGCATTGTTTTTCTAATCTCTCTCTCTCTCTCTCTCTCTCTCTCAATATATATATATATATATATATATATATATATATATATATATATATATATATGTAGTGAAATAGGGCATCGTTTTAGGTCAGGCAGTCGATTACTCGTAGATCAAAGAAAGTTCATTTTATTACACTTATATTTATATCTAAATATTTATAATTCCTGGGTATGACGATAAACTCTGTCCGACAGCAAGGCCTCTGATCGGAAAATGGGGGGGGGGGGTTCAAGAGCATGCAACTACCTACTTATTGCCATTGTCCCCAGGTCCATACTCAACTAGGGTGGTAGTCCCTGTTAGGGTCCAGGCTATGGCCAAATAGTTTTCCTCAACACAAGAAACTGTATGAAAATGTAAAAATATAATTTTATTGTATAAATACCAGCAATTCATTTTATATAAGAAATTACCAACAATACACCATCGTACCAAAATGACCAACAAAGGAGTTTATTTGTAGATGAAATCATACAACTGCGATGAAAATATATTTACTTGAAGCCATGAAATTTGTTTAAATTCGATATTAAATAGACCACTGACGTGGATATGGCGCTAAACAAAATCAACCAACATGAAAGAATTTTTTTGTGACATGAATCCATATAATATAATACAGATTCTACATGATAGCAAACTCTAACTTCAAGAAAATTACAACATGAAACACACATATCTCGACCTCTATTAATTATGTCCACACAAACATCTATATGCATAAAATTTGAGTATCATCTACCATGTATACAATTGTGAAAGCAGAATAACATATATCACATATTTACTACTTAAAAGCATCCATGAAAATTCCATTTCGTCATTAAGTGACACTTAAGGAGTTTCCAAGTGTTCAGCTTGATCATTTGGTTTTCAATAGCATGATATATATATATATATATATATATATATATATATATATATATATATATATATATATATAGTTTATGAAAAACTAGGTAATCCATAAAACAAGGAGGATATATATATATATATATATATATATATATATATATATATATAATTATTTATTTAAAAATATGATTCCAACGCTTTTAAAAAATAATAATAAAAAATACTAAAAAGAACTTTGGATTATTTACCTAACGAGTTCTTTTCCTATTTTTACACACACACACACACACACACACACACACACACACACACACACACACACACACACACACATATATATATATATATATATATATATAGTGGATTTCTTCCGTTGTATTCGATGTATGTGGGTTAAACAACTCAGTTCCTAGAAACCCTCTGGCTAGACACCAACACATATGATTTGATTATAGTAGTGAAGGCTGTGTGCGGAATCAACCACAGTTCTTGAAGGTCCAAATACAGAGACATGGTGCTTTACGTGTTACAAGTTCCTTAAACGACCATCCGCACGTTTTAAATTCAGAGTTGTCCTTCTTCTAGACCAGTGGTCGTCCAAGTCTGTAAAACCCAATCTGCCCTGCTATTTACTCATAGGGAGAAGAGGATTAATACCTTTTCTGAAGGTATCAAAACGTAAGTGAATGTAATGGATTCGATTGGAATTCGAACTTGGCTCTCCAAATTCTCAATCCGAGCATGCATTCACTACTACCGTATATATATATATATATATATATATATATATATATATATATATATATATATATATATATATACGTTGTCGGTGTTTTATGCAGTTAAATTGCTTTGGGATTTGAATTATTGAACTTACGCATGTATCCGAAGTTGTTGAGGTCACTGATAGTCCGAATCTCACTGGTAAGCAAAATCAATGAGATCAAGGGCAACTGGTTTGCAATAGGTGGATGCTCATTGCAGCTCCGTGCTTACCCGAAGACTGACAGCCGTTCATAATCGGTAAAGATCTTTAATTCTGACAATGTAAAATAGTGGTTGCGTTTTCACTGTAGGAATCGCATCTTCACTATTAAATCCATAAGTTTTCCCAGTTTTAAACGGAATACGCGAGCGGTAATGTCATGTCTGTGAGTGTAATCCTGTCCGGATTGGAGTTCACGTGTTATCTCAAACCATTTGGGGATGCAGGTAACAGTTATAAATAAGTCTTGGCCGCCCATATTGCCTGACGTATATCATAGCCTCCTGCGGGCGTTCATGCATGTAACGCCCCCCCCCCCGTGTAGGTTGAGGGCAGAATGCACAGCTTCCGTAAGTCGACTTCATTTCGAAGGATATCGCGTAAGTGTACGTAGGAGTCTGAGCGCAGCTGTTTCTGATGATTCCGTATAAATCAAAGCCTCTCTGATTCCATCTTAGCGGCCATATCAACCGCAAACTGGTGGAAAAGCTCCGTGCATCTATGAAGCAGGTTGAAGTCTCCATCCCGAACCATGAAACAGTATAAGTAGAAGTCCTTGCACGATTAGGCTTTGGAAGACGTTGTAGGTTGGCCATCCGGAGTATGAAAGGGAATGCCGAATTGCTATCCATCATCACCATAAGGGAAAAGTAAACGGTACTGCAATGCGTCATATGATCGATAGGTCTCTGATTTCAGGCCTCTGAAGTGTTGAATGTAATTCAACATCATCACTTGATAAGACACCAGAGGTGTTGAAACAAAATGGCTATTTTTGTAGTGATTCTATAACATATTTATATTATAATTTTTAAATAAATAATTATATTCGCTCTACTCTGTATTGAGCACGCTTTTACGAATAGTAATTGTTGGTTATTGGAATTTATTCCGTATACACCAATCATATCTTATACATATACATACATACATATGTATATATATATATATATATATATATATATATATATATATATATATATATATAAATTCCAAGAGGATAAAATCTAGGTAGAACAGGACAGTAAGGAGAAATATAATATAAAAAGGCTCAAACACTAATATTCCATGGTTATAATTTATTATATTGGAATCGTAATCACAATCAATTCATCACATCTGCGATGAAATTCAAAATAATTGAATTTGTAGGTTTGATGAATTGATCGTGATTATGATTCCAATATAATAAATTATCACCATGGAATATTATCTGAGCCTTTTATATTATATATATATATATATATATATATATATATATATATATATATATATATATATTGTGTGTTGTGCATGTATCCTAAAAACAAATTAACAGAGCAAGTGCTTTGATAAACGCAGTTTCCTTTTAGTTTTTTCTTCAAGATTGTCGTATCTTTCTCGGGTGCAGCTTATTTCATCATAAAAACTTAAGGGTGTAGGTGGCATTAATCAAAAGCCTATATTTCAAGATTCACGATAGTTTATATGGATTAAACTGTTTCAGATCTATCTATATTTATGAGATGAAGCATATGGGTCGCCTAATGAGGAAGGGGGGCTTGGAAAATCTGTCACTCACAAGACCGATTGAAGGAAAGAAGGGCAAACGCATAGTATCTGAAAGTCTTAAATAACTCATTTAGGTTTCGATATGCCGTAAAACAAAATAAAACCAAACTAAACCAGACTCTCTATAAATCTTCTTTACAGAAATATATCAATGAAACCATTCTACAAATATTCTATAAACGCCCTGAGTTAATACACTGTCTTTTTCTTTACTTGTCTGTTTTCTAACATTAATATTCCGATGGTAATATATTCATATGCAATTGGAGCTACGTATTGAAAAAAAAAAGTTCCAGATAATAAGTAGCTAACTTTTAATGTTTGACAACTCAAGAAGTTATCCGCTAAAAAATAAAATGTAACTTAATCCAAAAAGTAGCGACAGTGGTAAAGTAAAAATCAAACTTTCAATCACTTAAAGTGAATCTCGTTTGGCATCGCTAAAGTAGACTTTTTTAAAAATAAAATACGTTTTTTGAAGACATCAATTCATCACATGAAATATATATATATATATATATATATATATATATATATATATATATATATATATATATATATATATATATATTCAGTTCTTTTTTATTATTATTAATTTATTATCCCGTCAGATTCTCATCCAATTTTATGAAAAATAATAATAATAAAAACAGAAAATGACATAACATTGCAGAATTTTAAGTAAACAAACCACTCAATACAAACAAACCATAAATTTGAAAAAAAAATATAGATCTATATATTTGACCTATCCAAAAACAATAAAATATAAACAAGGGCCACGTGACACCCCTGAATCTATGATCCCAAGGAATCTATGATACTCCTCCCCGAATCTAGGATACGACATCTCTATTTTCATAAAATAGTATTTATATACAAATATTGTCATAACCTAATTATGTACAATAATGAATCCTCTCTATCTATAAAAGGCAGGATCTGTGTGTGTGTGTGTGTGTGTGTGTGTGTGTGTGTGTGTGTGTGTGTAATGAATGCACGGCATGCAATTTTCGATGCATTTGCACCAAAATTTACATGCACATGCTCCAAGTTAACCAGGAAGGCCAAGACCGACTGTGCATTTCCCAACTCCATCGATAGTGGAAATAATCGATTTTTCATGCTTCTACGGCTGTATTCATGTGGTTTGCAGCCATTTTGTAAGAGTGAGGCCTATAGCTGGCTGCTACATGAATAGGCAGGAAGATTCTGTTGGCCAGCGTGCGAGCCAGCATTGACTATTTACGAGTGTTAACTGGCATGCTGGCATGCAAAAAAATCGATAGCTGCATTCGTTACAGGTGGTAAAATTTAAATCTGCATGGCACTTTTAGTCCAATTGGCTCATTCGTTTGATTAAACTCAACGTTGATTCTGATTCCGCAGAATTGGGTTTGGGCGTGTAAAAGTATTTGTTGTCTTTTTCATTCGGTTTTCAGTTAGGGGAGTCCTTTTTAAAAGCTGATCGTTTTGTGTTCATTTTGTTTAGTTCTTTTTTCATAAAAAGATTTAATGTTTTAGTATAGAAGTTTAGAAAAAATTCGCAGTGTGGAGAAGCGGCAACATCAGCACAGCAAAGAGTTAAACTCTTTAAAAGGCAAGGAAGGGCAAAATATTTTTAAGTCAAGTGATAACGATTGTTGTATGAGTCATTACGATTTTTGAATCAAGCACGGGCAACGCCGGGCCATGCTAGTATGCAATATAGGGGAATAATTCAACTAGGCAAATTGAAAATGAATTCAATGTCTCTAAATACAAATTAGAGACCTGTCATAATAGATCATTCCATCTTGACTGGTTACGTTAGCAGAAGTAATCACCTCATTGAAATGGTATTTGATGAATGGCATGCCTGGATTATGGGTTTGGCATGGGGGATCTAAATTGTGGGATGAAGATTTTAGGGCAATGGAAATTTAGAATGATTCATTGCAAATTGGTTCAAAGATTTCCAAATCCAGAATTGCCAGATTGATTGACAAACAAGAGACAATATTCTGGAGATGCTATGAAATCTTTACCATTTCAGAAAGAAAAAACTCTGCATTCTTCGGATCGACTATCAGATTTATTATTGCATCAAAATAACTTCAGTTACCTGAACTATTTTTCTTTTTTTAATTAATACCTTTTAATGGTATCTTGAAATTATTTATTTCTGTAAAATAAATAAATGATAAGCCAAATAAACGTTTCTTGCACTTGTATGCATGACCAGATGTACAAGTTGGTTTAATGGATAACAGTTCAGGATGAGAAACCGTAGAGCTGAGTTTGAATTCCAGTTGGGTTCATTATATTTACTTACATGCAAATACTATTTGGAAACACATGAATCCATCACTTTTCCCCACAGATATGGGTTAAATAGCAGGACAGACTGGTTCCTACAGTCTTGGATGGCAACCAGTTTACTGCAGAATAAAATGACAGCCTACTGAAGGAAAATCTTCTACTCAGTCAGTAATGATTTAGGGAAACTTGAATTTTTTTTTAATTAAAATATTGAATGATTTAATATATTCAAATCTATGAACAAAGAACAGTGAATTTGATATAATAATTTTCGAGTCTTACATGAGCATAACAAATCCAAAAAAATTATCCTTCAGTTGTCAGTTATTAGATTAGTTTGTAACTTATATAAATATACGTAGATATAATCAAATGTTGATAAGATAGTGTTTTGGCCTTTTGGGGGGAAAATAAAGACGACAGTTAACACATTATCAACAAAAAGTAATCAAACATATAAAACGAGAGTGTTTTGGCAGAATGTTCGGTCCAGCTGTCAGGGCTGACTGCTGGAAACTTCCCTCTATAAAAGGCATAACTGCTCCTATTCATAAGTGAGTCCATGCGTGGATATACCACAACAATATCTCATCTATCTGTCTATCTATCTAAAACTCCATCTATCTACCTCATTGTTTTGTATCTATCTATCTACCTATCTGAGTAATATCTATCTATCTATCTATCTATCTATATCTATCTATCTATCTATCTATCTTTTGTGGCCTTGTTAGGGTCAAAAAAAATAAAGACACAAAGAGGAATTGGAGTTAAACACGTATATTAACAGAAACAGTAATACAACATATAAAACGAGATTGTTACAGCAAGAATGTTCGGTCCAGCTGTCAGGGCTGACTGCTGGAAACTTCCCTCTATAAAGGCAGTAACTGCTCCTATTCATAGCTGAGTGAGTCCATGCGTGTGTGGATAAAATACCATAACAATATCTATCTATCTGTCTATCTATCTAAAACTCTGTCTATCACCTCATTGTTTTGTATCTATCTATCTACCTATCTGAGTCTATCTATCTATCTATCTATCTATCTATCTATCTATCTATCTATCTATCTATCTATCTATCTATCTGTTGTGGCCTTTGTTAGGGTCAAAAATAAAGACACAAAGAGGAATTGGAGTTAAACACGTATATCAACAGAAACAGTAATACAAACATATAAAAACGAGATTGTTACAGCAAGAATGTTTCGGTCCAGCTGTCAGGGCTGACTGCTGGGGCTTCCCTCCTATAAAGGCAGTAACTGCTCCTATTCATAGCTGGAGTGAGTCCATGCGTGTGTGGATAAAATATAACAATATCTATCTATCTATCTATCTATCTATCTATCTATCTATCTAAAACTCTGTCTATCTACCTCATTGTTTGTATCTATCTATCTACCTATCTGAGTAATATCTATCTATCTATCTATCTATCTATCTATCTATCTATCTATCTGTTGTGGCCTTATTAGGGACAAAATAAAGACACAAGAGGAATTTGAGTTAAACACGTATATCAACAGAAACAGTAATACAAACATATAAAAACAGGATTTATTTACAGCAAGAATGTTCAGTCCAGCTGTCAGGGCTGACTGCTGGAAACTTCCTCTATAAAGGCAGTAACTGCTCCTATTCATAGCTAGTGAGTCCATGCATTGTGTGGATAAAATACCATAACAATATCTATCTATCTGTTCATCTATCTAAAACTCTGTCTATCTACCCTCATTGTTTTTGTATCTATCTATCTACCTATCTATCTATCTATCTATCTATCTATCTATTCATCTATCATCTATCTGTTGTGGCCTTGTTAGGGTCAAAAATAAAGACACAAAGAGAGGAATTGAGTTAAACACGTATATCAACAGAAACAGTAATACAAACATATAAAAACGAGATTGTTACAGCAGAATGTTCTGGTCCAGCTGTCGGGCTGACTGCTGGAAACTTCCCTCTATAAAAAGGCAGTAACTGCTCCTATTCATAGCTAGTGAGGAGTGCATTGTGTGGATAAAATACCATAACAATATCTATCTATCTGTCTATCTATCTAAAACTCTGTCTATCTACACTCATTGTTTACCTATCTATCTATCATCTATCTATCTATCTATCTATCTATCTATCTATCTATCTATCTGTTGTGGCCTTGTTAGGGACAAAATAAAGACAAAGAGGAAATTGAGTTAAACACGTATATCAACAGAAACAGTAATACAAACATATAAAAAAACGAGTGTTAGGCAAAGAATATTCTGGTCCAGCTGTCAGGGCTGACTGCTGGAAACTTCCCCTCTATAAAGGCAGAAACTGCTCCTATTCATAGCAACTAGTGAAGGTCCATGCATTATTGTGGATAAAATATAACAATATCTATCTATCTATCTGTCTATCTATCCTAAAAACTCTGTCTGGCCCACCTCATTGTTTGTATCCTATCTATCTACCTATCTGAGTAATATCTATCTATCTATCTATCTATCTATCATCTATCTATCTATCTATCTATCTATCTATCTATCTGTTGTGGGTCTTGTTAAGTCCAAAAAATAAAGACACACAACTAATTGAGTTAAACGTATATCAACAGAAACAGTAATACAAACATATAAAACGAGAGTGTTATGCAAGAATGTTCGGTCCAGCTGTCCAGAGGCTGACTGCTGAAACTTCCTCCATAAAAGGCAGTAACTGCTCCTATTCATAGCTGAGTGAGTCCATGCGTGTGTGGATAAATACCATAACAATATCTATCTATCTATCTATCTATCTAAAACCCTGTCTATCTACTCAGTGTTTGTATCTATCTATCTACCTATCTGAGTAATATCTATCTATCTATCTATCTATCTATCTATCTATCTATCTATCTGTTGTGGCCTTGTTAGGGGACAAAATAAAGACACAAAGAGGGAATTGAGTTAAACATTATATCAACAGAAACAAATACAAACATATAAAACGAAGGTGTTACAGCAAGAATGTTCGGTCCAGCTGTCAGGGGCTGACTGCGGAAACTTCCTCTATAAAGGCAGTAACTGCTCCTATTCACTTTGAGTGAGTCCATGCGTGTGTGGATAAAATACCATAACAATATCTATCTATCTGTCTATCTATCTAAAACTCTGTCTATCTACCTCATTGTTTGTATCTATCTATCTACCTATCTATCTATCTATCTATCTATCTATCTATCTATCTATCTATCTGTTGTGGCCTTGTTAGGGTCAAAAATAAAGACACAAGAGAGGAATTGAGTTAAACACGTATATCAACAGAAACAGTAATACAAACATATAAAAACGAGATTGTTACAGCAAGAATGTTCGGTCCAGCTGTCAGGGCTGACTGCTGGAAACTTCCCTCTATAAAGGCAGTAACTGCTCCTATTCATAGCTGAGTGAGTCCATGCGTGTGTGGATAAAATACCATAACAATATCTATCTATCTGTCTATCTATCTAAAACTCTGTCTATCTACCTCATTGTTTGTATCTATCTATCTACCTATCTATCTATCTATCTATCTATCTATCTATCTATCTATCTATCTGTTGTGGCCTTGTTAGGGACAAAAATAAAGACACAGAGAGGAATTGAGTTAAACACGTATATCAATGAAACAGTAATACAAAATATAAAAAACGAGAGTGTTACAGCAAGAATGTTTCGGTCCAGCTGTCAGGGGCTGACTGCTGGAAACTTCCCTCTATAAAGGCAGTAACTGCTCCTATTCATAGCTGAGTGAGTCCATGCGTGTGTGGATAAAATACCATAACAATATCTATCTATCTATCTGTCTATCTATCTAAAACTCTGTCTATCTACCTCAGTGTTTGTATCTATCTATCTACCTATCTGAGTAATATCTATCTATCTATCTATCTATCTATCTATCTATCTATCTATCTATCTGTTGTGGCCTTGTTAGGGTCAAAAATAAAGACACAAGAGAGGAATTGAGTTAAACACGTATATCAACAGAAACAGTAATACAAACATATAAAAACGAGAGTGTTACAGCAAGAATGTTCGGTCCAGCTGTCAGGGCTTGACTGCTGAAACTTCCTCTAAAAAGGCAGTAACTGCTCCTATTCATAGCTGAGAGTCCATGCGTGTGTGGATAAAATACCATAACAATATCTATCTATCTATCTATCTATCTAAAACCCTATCTATCTACCTCAGTGTTTGTATCTATCTATCTACCTGTAATATCTATCTATCTATCTATCTATCTATCTATCTATCTATCTATCTATCTATCTATCTATTTTGTTAGGGTCAAAATAAAAGAACCAAAGAGAATTGATTAAACACGTATATCAACAGAAACAGTAATACAAACATATAAAAACGAGATTGTTACAGCAAGAATGTTCGGTCCAGCTGTCAGGGCTGACTGCTGAAACTTCCCTCTATAAAAAGGCAGTAACTGCTCCTATTCATAGCTGAGGTGAGTCCATGCATTGTGTGGATAAAATACCATAACAATATCTATCTATCTGTCTATCTATCTAAAACTCTGTCTATCTACCTCATTGTTTGTATCTATCTATCTACCTATCTGAGTAATATCTATCTATCTATCTATCTATCTATCTATCTATCTATCTATCTATCTATCTGTTGTGGCCTTGTTAGGGTCAAAAAAAAAAGACACAAAGAGGAATTGAGTTAAACACGTCAACAGAAACAGTAATACAAACATATAAAAACGAGATTGTTACAGCAAGAATGTCTGGTCCAGCTGTCAGGGCTGACTGCTGAAAACTTCCCTCTATAAAAGGCCCATTAACTGCTCCTATTCATAGCTAGTGAGTCCATGCGTGTGTGGATAAAATACCATAACAATATCTATCTATCTATCTATCTATCTAAACTCTGTCTATCTACCTCATTGTTTTGTATCTATCTATCTATCTATCTATCTATCTATCTGTTGTGGCCTTGTTAGGGTCAAAATAAAAGACACAAAGAGGAAAGTTAAACACACGTATATCAACAGAAACAGTAATACAAACATATAAAAACGAGATTGTTACAGCAAGAATGTTCGGTCCAGCTGTCAGGGCTGACTGCTGGAGACTTCCCTCTTCAAAGGGCAGTAACTGCTCCTATTCATAGCTGAGTGAGTCCATGCGTGTGTGGATAAAATACCATAACAATATCTATCTATCTATCTATCTATCTATCTATCTATCTATCTATCTAAAACCCTGTCTATCTACCTCATTGTTTGTATCTATCTATCTACCTATCTGAGATATCTATCTATCTATCTATCTATCTATCTATCTATCTATCTATCTATCTATTGGCCTATCTAAAAAGACACTAGTTAAACACGTATATCAGAAACAGTAATACAAACATATAAAAACGAGATTATTCAGCAAGAAATTTCGGTCCAGCGTGACTGCTGGAGACTTCCCTCTTCAAGGGCAGTAAACTGCTCCTATTCATAGCTGAGTGAGTCCATGCGTGTGGATAAATACCATAACAATATCTATCTAATCTATCTATCTATCTATCTAAACCCTGTCCTATCTACCTCAGTGTTTGTATCTATCCTATCTACCTATCTGAGTAATATCTATCTATCTATCTATCTATCTATCTATCTATCTATCTATCTATCTATCAACAAAATAAAGACACAAAGAGGAATTGGAGTTAAACACGTATATCAACAGAAACAGTAATACAAACATATAAAAACGAGAGTGTTACAGCAAGAATGTTCAGTGCTACTGTCAGAGCTGACTGCTGGAAAAATTCCCTCTTCAAAAGGCAGTAACTGCTCCTATTTATAACTGGGAGAGTCCATGTGTGCCTGGATATAACAGATCGTGAGGATCAGAATGCACAACCTGAGGCTCCGGACTTGCCCGGTCGAATTATTTCTCTACCCTACAATATCTTTCCCACAGACCAAATGTCGGAAGCCTTTCGCTACCCTATCGCTATTTGAACGGAAAATGTGCAGACAAACTATATGCCTTAGTTTCACCAGTTCTAACATAGAGGGCAAACACCCACCATTCCACTTACATTGTAGCCACCCATTCTCACACTCTTCGTATTCTATTGGTGAGATGTAAGTTCCACTCGAGCGGCTTCTTCCACGAACGGCTACTTTGTGGAACAGACTCCAAAGATGATATAAAATGCAGATATTATTGTAACCTAGTTATGTACAATAATGGATCATGCGCATTATAGGTGAACAATTCAATTAGTCAAAGAGAAAAATAGAAGTCCTATCAGAATTAATTATTGGCGGCCACAATCTTAACAACATAAGGTATACAGATGACATAATGTAGATATCAGGCACAAAAAGAACGCTAAAACAGTCTTGCAGAAGGTAGAGGAGGAAAGCGAGAAGAATGGATTAAACATCAACTGCAAGGATACAGAATCTTTGGAATTTTACCAAAATGATGAGCTTAAAGTGTGATTTGCAAATCGGAGATACCAGAATCCAAAAAGTGCGGAGATTTAAGTACCTGAAAAATGTTTCAACTGTGACACTGAAATCCGAAGTCGCTTGTGGATAGCCCAAAATGAATTTCAAAAGATAAGCTGAGCACAAAAAATAGAAAAAAATTTTCGCTAGAAACAAGAAAAAGGGTACGAAACGTCTACGTGATATCAGCCCTCCAGTATGCTGGACAATCTCCTCAAAGTTGAAGAAGAGACTTGAAGCAACAGAAATTTTTTTTCTACAGAAGGTTACTGGGGATACTATGGACGAACATGTGAGCAACAAGATCGTTTTAGAGACAATGAAAAAAAAAGAAACTTATATTTAACATAAGAAAGAGATAGTTGCAGTTACTGGAGCACATAATGAGGAAGAAGGACTTGGAAAATCTAATACTCACAGGACAGGTCGAAGGCAAAGCGGGATAAAGGAAAACAGCGCATAACATATGTAGTGAGCTTTAATGAATGACTTGTGGAACAGGACTTAAGAGAAACAACAGAAAGACAAAGTTTTTAGGATCTACAAGGGACGGGAAGTTGTGGAGAAACATCATCGCTTATGTCTTGAGGTAACAGGGCACATATAGGAGTAAAAATAAAAAAGTTTTTGTTTTTAAATCAAAAGACAAACAAATATAAATCTGTTTGCTCTCACGAATAAAATAAAACAACTGATTTTCAAAAAACACTATACTACGTAAATTGTTAAAAACGATTACAAATAATAGGTGCCTTAACCATATGACAAACAACAAAACGCAAAAAATCAATTTAGGAAGACAAACATTAAATATATTTTACAGCTTGTAATAATAATAATAATAATAATGTTTACCTCACACCTCAAACTAATGGGTGAAGGCGTGAAACAAGAAGAACCAAAACACACGAAGAAAGAGAGTGAACAAGTATAGTTTCTGCGCAGAAAAGGCTTGGAAAATGCAATGCTCAAAGGACATATCAACGGTAAGTGCATGAAAGGGAAACATCGTTTAAACTAATAGGCAAGTTTGAGCAAATGTATGCAAAAAAATAGCATAAATCATAAGAAGAATCGTATAGTAAGTAGTATTGCTGAAAACTTTAAATACTAAAAACTGTGGAGGACCATAATCAACCACACGCTAAACAAACACAAAAAGTGAAACTGTGTGAGCATAAAAAACTGAAAAAAAAAATAATAATAATGTAATCGGACCTAGTCAGTCATCTCGACTTTATCGCCGAAGTGACGTGGCTTCCCCCTGTCTTTTCTACAAATATTTCCATAGCAACTACACCGACTAACTTTTCGACCTGACTACATGAATTTAAGCGTGCTACTAGTTTGGCACCTAGAATCCACCCTTTTACTGTTACAATAGCGAAATCCAACCTCCACTTCTACTCCAACACTTTCTCTTTTCACACTTCCCACCTGTAGAACTTCCCTCCGTTTCCTTGCTTTCCTGATAACTACAATTTTCAAAAGTTTAAATGCAACATCAGTCTCCATCTTCCCTGCGTCTTAGTGTCATTACCGACTTGCTTTATAATAATAATAATAATAATAATAATAATAATGTCCCTGTGGTGAAATACAGCTTCAACATCCTTAATAGGAACAGGGATGACATTAAACGAATGCATTTTAAAACGCGGAAGCTTCTCACTTTCCACCGCATAACATCATCCTAAGGTAGCAGATGATCGTCTGTATGTGCCCAGATCCGAAGGAGGCAGAGGATTAGTTCAACTAGAACTGTCTTACAAAGCCATAACAATCGGTCTTCAAAGATACCTGGAAACTGCAGAAGACTGGATGATGATCTATGTTAAAGAACATGAAAGAAATAAGAAACTTTATTCAGTAATAAAGGAATCTAATAATTTCAAACGTGAATTTCAAGACGGGGAAAATGCAGATAAACCATAATACACATACTGCAGTATCAAAGAACCCCCAAAAAAAGAAAGCAAAAGCAACTGCCATATAACAAATGTAGAAACGATGGCCGGATAAGCCTTTCCATGGTCAATACACTTCCTGTACTTGACAAGCTAATGTAGACAAACCCTATAAGCTTTAGTGGTTACATAGTGCATGGTCAAAAGCTGAAACCTAATGTTTTATTCTTGCTGCACAGGACAAATGCTTGCTAACTGGAAATTAACAAGCACACGTACTGAAAATTGTGTTAATCTGAAATGCAGCTTTTGTGATAAATATCCAATAACAATTGTAATCTTGTATCAATTTATACAGTGTATCCACTGTATATAAAACGTTGCATGATAGAGTGAACCAATACCTTCACTGGAAAATATGCAACTTTTACGGCAATGTAACTTCAAGAAACTGGCATGAACATCAACCAAAGCCGGTTAGAGAGACAGGACCTGGGAAAGCAGACAGAACAATCCAAGATAATCGTCCAGAAATCGTGATCAAGAACCACCAAAAATAAAATGTGCTTTTCTTATTGACATCACAATCCCTGCAGATTGTAATGTAGTTTTGAAGATTTTCAATAACTATCAAAATGCAAAAATGATCTTGCAATGGAAATCTCGAAAATGTGGCACATGAGGACATCAATATTTCCAGTTGGAGTTGGAGCCCTCGCCTTGATTGGGAGAGATTCCGATAGACGCATTGAGTGGATTCCTGCTTGTCCGGGCCTTTAAAAAATACAAAAAATGTACACACAGGATGTAAGATCTTAGTATTATTTTACGAATAATAATAATAATAATAATAATAATAATAATAATAATAATAATTAGAAGAAGAAGAAGAAGAAGAAGAAGAAGAAGAAGAAGAAGAAAAAAAAATAATACAAAAATAACAAAAAAATAATAATAAAATTTTCTCACGAGTACAGTTCAGACCTTATGAGGGGTTTTTATCTATGCAGAATATGTATATATATATATATATATATATATATATATGTGTGTGTGTGTGTGTGTGTGTGTGTGTGTGTGTGTGTGTGTGTGTGTGTGTGTGTGTGTGTGTTTGAATTGCTCGGCCCCGGGAAAGAAATGTGCACACACCAGAAGTCGAAAGAAATAATAATAATAATAATAATAATAATAAGAAGAAGAAGAAGAAGAAGAAGAAGAATAAGAAGATCTTTATCTGTGTAAAATGTCTGATATATATATATATATATATATATGTAACAAAAATATGACCAGTGCAAAAAATCATGAAGCCATGACTGGTTTCTGATTGGGACCCCGAGAAAATGTCTATACAATAGAAATCCAAGGGAATAATAATAATACTAATACTAATACTGCTACTACTACTACTAATAATAATAATAATAATAAACCTTGCTCTCTCATACTAAGTTCAAACGATTCCACGAAAAGATTTCAAAATTGAACAGTTGCATAAAAATGGTAACCTCGTTCTGAGTAATGCTACACAGTAACCAGACAGCTTTTTGTATTTTAAATGAATCTAGAATTGCTTTATGGTTCCACAAGGAATAAAGATTGAGACACATTGTTTCTTTTAAGCTTGGAATCCATGAAAAACGAGTAAAGATATATGAATTATCACAGACTTTGAATTATATTCACTGGAATAATTCAGTCTCTTTCGAGTTTTCATAGAAAACATGAAAGATTACTAAAGAGAAAAAAATCTTTGAAGAAACGTTTTATTAAGTTGAATGCTGGCCTGGAGGAAATAGTTTTTGGTTGTGAAAAAAAAAAAAAGTAAGAAAGAAAGAAAAATAAAGAAGAAAGAAAGAGAAAAAGAAAGAATGAACGGCCAACACTTGTAAAGATATGTAAAAGACAGAAAGGAAAAGAGAAATAAAGAAAGAAATGAAGAAAAAAGAAAGAAAGAAAGAAAGAAAGAGAAAAAGAAAGAAAGAATGATAAAAAAATTTAAACATTTAAAAAAATGTTAAAACGTATAAGAAAAATATGAAATATTGTAAAAAACTGTTCTGCAAGAAAAATGAGAGGAGAGAAAGAAATAAACGATACTGAAAGAAAAGAAAAAGAAAAAAAGAAAATGCTAAATAGAGTAAAAACAGAAGGAAATAAAGAAAAAGTGGAAGTGAGCAAGAATGGATGAGAGCGCAAAAAAAAGAAAGAAAGGAAGAAATAAATAAAGAAAGAAAATTAAAGAAAGAAAGAGAAAAAGGAAGAAAAGAAAGAATGAAAATGAAAGTGAGCAAGAATGGATGAGAGCACAAGAAAGAAAGAAAGAAAAAAGAAAGAAAGAAAGAAAGAAAGAAAGAAAGAAAGAAAGAAAGAAAATTAAAGAAAGAAAGAGAAAAAGGAAGAAAAGAAAGAATGAAAAAGTGAAAGTGAGCAAGAATGGATGAGAGCACAAGAAAGAAAGAAAGAAAGAAAGAAAGAAAGAAAGAAAGAAAAAAAAGAAAAAAGAGAAAAAAAAAATAAAGAAAAAATGAAAAGAGAAAAGGAAGAAAAAGAAAGAATGAAAAGTGAAAGTGAAAGAAAGAATGGATGAAAGAAGGAAGAAAGAAAGAAAGAAAGAAAGAAAGAAAAAAAGAAAGAAAGAAGAAAAAATGAAAAAAAAATAAAAAGAAGGAAGAAAAAAAAGGAAAGAAAAGAATGAAAAAAAGTGAAAGTGAGCAAAAAATGGATGTGAAAGAAAGGAAAGAAAAGAAAAAAGAAAGAAAGAAAGAAAAAGAAAAAAAGAAGAAGAAAAGAGAAAAAGGAAGAAAAGAAAGAATGAAAAAAAGTGAAAGTGAGCAAGAATGGATGTGAGCGAAAAAAAAAAAAAAAAAAGAAAGAAAGAAAGAAAGAATGAAAAATAAAGAAAGAAAGAAAAAGAAAAGAAAAAGAAAAAGAAAAAAAGAAAAGAATGAAAAAAGTGAAAGTGAGCAAGAATGGATT